ACCCAGCTGTCACTTTTGGTGCCCTCGTGGGTGGCAGGATTAGCGTTCTTCGTGCTGTCTACTATTGGGTTGCTCAGCTCCTTGGTGCTGTTGTAGCCTCTGCCTTGTTGAGGCTTGCTACTGATGGCTTGGTAAGATGGATCTAGCCACTTTGGATGTATTTAATAAATATTTTTTTGAAAAATAGTTTCCACCCTCCAACACATTTTTAAAGCTTCTTATTACCTGCACGAGTCCCACTGTCATTAGCACCTTTTTTTAGTACTCCTTGAGCTAATCCCTTATTGTTTTCCTTGAGCTAATCCCTTATTGTTTTCGAGCAATACCCCTTATTGTTTCGAGCAATACGTTTATTTGCTAATTAATACAATGGCCGGTCATAGTTAAGTAAAGATGTTATGTGGGTTCGCTTGGATTATGCTATGTATGAAAAATCTTTTTAGATTTCATAGTGGATCTTGATCATTTATTTATAGTTCTTGTATTAACCGGTCCGGAGAGAATGAGTCATATCTCCAAACGTGAATCTTTGAGTAATTAACCTGAATAGTCGCTCATCTAACTGCTTAAAGTTAAAATAGAAAGCGGACATACTAGTATATAATCTATGTATAATTAGTATGTAATTTATGTTATTGATTGGAAAATGTAAACAGTTAATGTTGCTATTTGTGTAAGGATATTTTCCTGTCATACCATACAAGTTTTATTTTCCTTGTTCGTCTTTCCTGCTCAATCAGCTTGCTTTTAGTGAATACTGTAGTCTTGTATATTCTGGTTTTCCATTGAAGTGAGGAAGGAATCCTCTTACTTGATCCTTGACCAGCAGCTAGCTAACTCATTATACAGTTACTCTTCAGTCTCAATTGGTGTGTCACTTTTTGTTTTATGTAAATTTTGACCAATATTTTAAAATATATTTTTTTCTCATATTGAATTGCAAGTAACTTACAATACTTTATGTAGATAGTTTATGAATATAATATTGAGTTTATCTGTTTAGTCAAATCGACTGTCCAAGTCTCACATTGAGTTTGTTGCAAATTTCTTGTGGTTTCAGAGGCCACTGGGATTCGGAGTAGCAGCAGGAGTTGGCAACTTGAACGCACTTGTGATGGAAATAGTAATGACATTTGGGCTGGTATACACAGTATATGCAACTGCCATTGATCCAAAGAGGGGAAGTTTGGGCATCATTGCACCTCTCGCCATTGCTTTCATAGTTGGGGCTAATATCTTTGTTGGTGGGCCTTTTGAAGGGGCATCCATGAATCCTGCAAGGGCATTTGGGCCTGCTCTTGTGGGCTGGAGGTGGAGGAACCATTGGATCTACTGGTTGGGCCCATTTATAGGTGCAGCCATTGCTGGACTTATCTATGAGTTTGGGCTTATACAATCTGAAATTGCTCCAATCCACACTCACCATCAACCCTTGGCTCCAGAAGATTACTAAATAGCACATTCAAGATTTGTGCTGAGACTCCTAGACTCGTTTCGTGAAGTTTGTCTGTGTTTTAATGTAGTCGCGTGGAGAGTTTGTTTAATAGTTACATGTTGTAAGCTTCTAAATAATAGCATAATGTTGCCAGTAATAATTTATGTGTCTTTAATGCTCCTTTTTTCGTCGTTTGTGTATATTGCTCAGACACCAGTGTTTATGAAATTTTAACAGATCATGATAAATCCGAAATTTAAGGCGACTCTTGAAATATTACGAGTCTATTAGAGTTACTTGGTGGATACTTCACAAAAACCCTAATCAATGCTTATAAATAAGATTATATATATCCTTCAAAGACGATTTCAGTAGTTCATACACTTTCGGAATATGCATAAAGCGATACTACACTTTCGGAATATGCATAAAGCGATTAAATAGTCTATCTCCGAAATAATTCATAAAATTTTAGGAATATTCATTAAGAGATAAAAATATGTTAAATATGTTTTGCTTAAATTTCTAGTAATCGAATCCAAACGGAATAGCATGCTTCTTGATCATCAAATACATTAAGGAGGTGCATATCATTCTATGTTCGAGAAATATGCCGCTAAGGCCCTCGAATTAAGAATAATAAATCAGAGGGAACAAATAAAATTGTACCTGCATTGTTTATCAAGAAATTTATGTTTCTTCATAGTCTTATTGTAATTTTAATTTTATTTTTCTGCACAAATTTATTGGAAACAACCATATCACTAATATGGCCCCTTCCAAAATCTGAATAAGGGAAGTCCGAGTCTTGGTTAAATACATGAATAAAATGAGCTCCCAAATGCTATGTAGGGCGATGCAGTTTTAAGGTATCGGGTTCAATCTAAAATTTTTGACAACAACTATAAAATTATGCATTAATATATATATAATGGGTTCAATGATAAGAATTTCAAGTTCAATGTACAAAGATCACTAGCAGAAATCACTATAGTGATTCACTTGAAATTCCCGTCAAGGTGCATGGTGCAAACTAAAGGACGGTTGTTCGATTGGTGCATAATGAGTGCAGTTCTTTATACTCGGTTGGTGCAGAAGAATGAGTTCCTAATATGCAATTGGTCCAGAAAAAAGATGCAATGAATTAAGCAGGCAGAACTATGCTCCGTTGCTTTCTAATATAAGATCTAACTGAAGGGCTGTCCTCCTTTTAAATTAGAGAATAATAATGAATGGGAGGAGAACGATCTGATGTTCAAATTGATAAAAAACAATTAGGTAGTATTTTATCATTTGTCTAAATCTTCATGCGAAAGTTACTCAATATATGTGATAGGTGAGCAGATCAAACGGGTTCATATAAATCCGCTTTGCCGAAAAATTATAGGTATATCTCATTTTTCTTTAAGAAAATAAGCGGATAAGTAAGATTTTGAATCCACTTTGACAGAAACAGAGCGCACAGCTCGCTGGCACAGGAGGTTCATTATTTTCCAAGGATCCCAAGTTCGAACTAGCCAACAATGTCTCCTCTATATATAAACTTTTTACTTTTTCTCCAGTAAAAGCTTTCGTGGAACCTGCATCTTCGCTCATTAAATAATTCCCCTATTCCTATATTCATTAGAAATAGAAAATATTTTTTTTTGTTTCTTTTCCAAATAAAACTATAATTTGAAAAGTGTAGACCTAGGCTACACGTTTTTGCCTCTCTTTTGTTTTTGTTTTTTTACTATATAAATCTATTTCTTTATTCATTAGGAAAAAAACTATATATTAAATATTAAATAGTCTCCGAATCTCAAAACCCCATGTCTCTTGGTTAAAAACTTTCACCCATAAAACATTCAAACCTCAAGGTCTCCACTATCGGCCGTAGCCTCGCTTTTGTTTGCCCACTGCCATCTCGCTAGAATCCATCTCTCGCGCCATCCGCAAAGTCACCAATCAGGTTTTTCTTTATTCTCTATTTTTTGTATAATGTATCTAATTATCTCTGATTATAAAATTAGCATGGTTGTGTGTGAATTGTGATTTCTTCAAATAAGAAAAATATGCACCTCTTAAAATCATTGGTAATTACAGTTGGGTTTGGGTATTTCTTCTCTCTTGTAATTTGGGAATTGGCACCAATCACCATCATTATTTTGAATTGAGTTTAAGATTATTCTTGTTTGTGATGCTAGTTGAAACATAAGTTTAAATATACTTATTAAATTATTGTTCTAATTAAAAATTTAATTTGGTAATCCAGTTTCAAAATTCAATGAAGAGATATTTCACTCCAGCATCTTCCAAGTTGCCACAATCAAGTTCTTCCCGTCAAAATGCTCCTCCCGGGGAAGAAAATCTGAACCAATTAGAAGAACAACCTCCTTCGTCTAAAAAAACAAAGACAAGGAGCTGATCTGGACTCTTTAAAGGATGATCCAAAGGAAAGAATATCTATTAGGGACTATCATCCAAATGAGCGTGATGAAATTAGAAGAGCATACCTTCAAAGAGGTCCTTACCAACCTCGAAATCACAAGTTTCCTAAAAGAGATTTTTTCTGTTTAAAGCATCGTTTTAATCCCAAATGGGTTGATCAATATCATGATTGGTTGGAGTATAGCGTGATAGAAGATGCAGCTTATTGTTTGTGTTGTCATTTATTTCAAGATGAAAGCATTCATCAAGGTGGAGGTGATGTATTTTCGAGTATAGAATTTAAAAGTTGGCATAAAAAGAAAAGATTAGACATGCATATTGGAGGGCTGAGCAGTATTCATAACCAAGCAAAGAAAAAATGTGAAGATCTAATGCAACAAAAACAGTCAATTCAAACTGCATTTCATAGGAAATCCACTCAAACAAAGCTCAAACACCGACATCGTTTAAAGGCTTCAATTGAGGTGGTGAGACTCCTTTTGAATCAAGGATTAGCATTCCGCGGACATCGTGAAGTGAATCATCATTAAACAAAGGTAACTTTCTTGAAATCCTTAAGTGGTATGCAAAAAGGTGTGATAAAATCCGTGATCTTGTATTGGAAAAGGCTCCAAAAAATGATAAGTTGACTTCTCATAAAATTCAAAAAGATATTGTCACTGCATGTAAGCTTGAGACAATTAAAGTTATTATAGAGGATCTAAATGGTGACAATTTTGCATTGTTAGTGGATGAATCTTGTGACATTTCACGCAAAGAACAAATGGTTATTGTCTTGCGTTATATTGATAGAATGAGATCTATGGTGGAGCAGTTTATTGGGATCGTACATATTCATGGCACTGGTGCTTTATGTTTAAAGGAAGTAATTGTTAATTACCTTGCTCAACATTCTTTGAGTTTATCTTATGTACGTGTACAATGCTATGATGGAGCGAGCAATATGCAAGGGGATCTAAGTGGCATTAAAACTTTGATTTGAAAAGAAAGTAGATCAGCTAATTCTATTCATTGTTTTGCTCATCAACTTCAACTGACCCTTGTTGCAGTCTGTAAAAAATGTCTTGAAGTGGGAGAACTTGTGTTATTGATTTCTAACATATTAAATGTAGTGGGGGGGGGTTCTTTTAAGCGTATGGATGATCTTCGACAATCTCAAACAGAAAAACTTCAAGAGGCATTAGATATGGGAGAAATTGATACTGGCAAGGGCTTAAATCAAGAACTTGATCTAGCTAGAGCTGCTGATACTCGTTGGGGGTCGCACTATAAATCTTTTAAGAACTTTATTAATATGTTTGGCTCTATTATTGATGTTCTAGATACTATCGTTGTTGATGCACGGTCTTTAGAAGAAAGATCTAAGGCAACAGGATATCTTAGAACATGTCAAACATTTGAGGTTTCTTTCACATTACACTTAATAAGAGATGTTTTGGTGATCACAAATGAGCTTAATGCATCCTTACAGAAGAAAGAACAGGATATTGCAAATGTTGTTCTACTTATTGATGTGGCAAGGAAACGATTGCAAAGGCTAAGGGATGAAGGATGGGATCCACTTATTGATGTCTCCATTTTGTATCAAGCATGACATAGTGATACCTAATTTTGATGAGTTCTATGTTAACTCTGGAAGATCTCGACGCAAAGTTGCAGAGCATACCATTTCACATCATTGTCGTGTTAATGTATTTATTAAGATTATTGATTGGCAACTTCATGAACTCAAGAAGCGTTTTAATGAGGAGACAACATATTTGCTTATGGGAGTCGCTTGCTTGAATCCAGTTGGCTCATTTTCTAGTTTTGACATCAAGAAGATATTGAGAATGGCTGAATTATATCCTGATGATTTTGATGAAAATATTATGATTACTTTTGAGAATCAACTTGCGACTTATATCGTTGATGTCTATGATATTGATGAAAGGTTCTCTAATTTAAAAGGACTTGGTGATCTTTCTGAAAAGCTAGTTAAGACAAAGAAGCATTTGAATTATCTATTTGTGTTTTGCCTAGTGAAATTTACATTGCTCCTGTCAGTTGCCACTGCTACAGTTGAAAGAGTTTTTTCCGCAATGAAGTTGATCAAGAGTGAATTGCGAAATCGAATGAATGATGAATTTATGAGTGGTTGTTTGGTGCCTTATGTAGAAAGAGAAATGTTTAATAGTGTTTCTGATGAAACAATTATGAATAGGTTTCATGAAATGAAAACTCGTAGAGTACAATTGGAATAATATATTAGATAATTTTTTCAATTAATAATAATTTATTTTGTTAATTTCTTTATGCATTACTTCTTCATATATTGAATCCGCTTGATGAAAATCCTGGGTCCGCCACTATAGGTGAGAGATAATAGGTACTCGGTAAAATCATGTGTAGATTAACTCTTTATACCAATCATAAAAAGGATAAAGATAATGAAGTTTCACGAGTTTAGCTCATTTATTCCTATAGGAGGTGATACAATACAATGGGTGACCTATAACTTGCCAAATTATGTATGGTAAGTTAATTCTCTTGTACTAATTTACTAATCAAGTGGGAGGTTATGGAAGAGATAAATCATTCGTTTAGCAAGAGAAAGTGAAAGTGATTTAAAGGAGAAATCTTTTGAATTAAAGAGTTGTTTGTTGTGAAAAAAGTTACAAAACTTCATTAGTAATTTGGAGATAAACAGTAAAAGAGATGATAACATATAAATTTCTGTCACAAAATTTAAACAGCAGTACGGAATGATCGAAACATTTTTAAAAATAATCACTTTCTGGTTGTTGGCTAAAAATCAGCTGCTATTTCAACATTAATTGAAATTAAGCTACTCTTTTATGAGTAAATAATATTTGGGACAATATGAAACTCCACATATCAACGATACATAATTGCTTCTTCTCCATACAAAAACGCTTTTTCTTTGCGATCTCCTTCTCGAACTCAAGAACACTCATCTAGGAATCAACTTTTTTTAACTTCTCATGACACCCGACAAGTGATTTTTTAAAATTTGTTTTGCAACTTTTCTTCTTAAAAGTCAAGACCCAAAACACAATCGTCGTGATGGCGCCTATCGTAGAACTAAGCAAGCCAACTACTCAACCATTTCAACACAACAAAAGCTTTGAAAAATACGGAAGCAGTTAATATTTAAGGAAAACCTTATAAAAGCAGAATAAAATTCGCAACTCAATACAAAATCTCTCCCAAAACCGAAGTGTCGCCGAGTACATGAGCATCTATACAGGGATATAGTCTAATACAACATCTTGGGAATAAGAACTGAAATATAAATGAAAATAAGGAGAGTCAAGGTTTACGAACGCCATGCAGCTACCTCGATAATCTCCGAATATCCTAACTCCACAACTCAGCAGTCGCCATGACCGAAAGTGCCTGGATCTGCACACGAGGTGCATGGTGCAGCGTGAGTACAACCAACTCAATAAGTAACAAATCTAACCCTTAGACTGAAAGTAGTGACAAACTTAACTGAGTAGTTCAGTATAGAAATAACAGTGCAGAAACGTAGACATGCTTTCAAGTTCAACAGTTAACTCAATACAGTAAGATAGATCAATTCTGAATAAGTTGAAGAATATAACTTCTCTACTTCTACATGCCAATGCACATGTTGTATGTGATGCACCATGCTGAAAGCCTCGTGTGCTCACACTCTCGAAATGCTCAATCACTCAGTATTGTATATGGCCAATCCGGCATAGGAAAGATTCATCCTGGAATATATACATCAATCGGCCATCAATCACTTAATACTGGGTAGGGCCAATCCAGCCCATGGGGAAGATCCATCCCCGATTATAAATGCTTCGGACAAGATCTATGTCCATGAACTTCTTAATCCTCTCCTTCTCAGTGGGAACCAACCAAATTGCGTGACGAGCCAACTCTGAAAACCTCATCTCATATTGGGTCACAGACATGCCCTCCTGGTGTAGCTACTTGAACTGCCTACGCAACTCCTCCATGCGGGTCTATGGCACAAAATTATCCAAGAAGAGAATGGAGAACTCATGCCATGAAAGTGGTGCGGCACTGTTTGGCTTACTCCTATCATAGGCCTCCCACCATCTGAAGGCAGCTCCTGATAGCTGAAAAGTAGTAAAGGAGACTCCACTGGTCTCTAGAATACCCATTGTGCGAAGAATCCGTTGACACCTATCCAAGAAATCCTGAGCATCCTCTGACTCAGCCCTACTGAATGATGGAGGCTGAAGCCTCCCAAATCTCTCTAGTCTCTTCTGCTTCTCATCACTCATAACGGGACCAACCTAGGCCTAAGCAACTACAACCGGCTGGGCTGGTAGTACCCCCGGTGTCTGAAGTCCATACACTACCTGCTCTGGAGTACGAGCGACGGGAGTCTGAGTAACTCCCCCAGCCTGAGAAGTGGCTGGCGCGGCCTGAACAGAAACCGTTGAGCAAGGCTAGTGCAACAATTAATAGTTTGTTCAAAGCCTCCTGAAAGCTTGGAATCACAATAGGCACAGTTGGTGCCTGAGTTGGTCCTACCAGCTCAATCACATCTGGAACCTGCTATTCAGCTGGAGCAACTGGTGGATCTAAAAGTGTTGCGCTAGCTACTGTACAAGTTGCACCTCGTCCTATACCGCGGCCTCGGTCTCTTATGGCCCTAGCTGGTGGTACTGGTAGCCGTCTGCCTGATCTAGTAGCACGTGTCCTCACCATCTGTGAGAGAATAGAATGACAGAAGTTTACTTCCTGGAATCAAGAAATTCGCACGACAAGAATACAAGAATGTGGAATTTTTCTAAGGGTTTGGCAGCCTCTCGAAGATAAGTACAGATGTTTCCGTACCGATCCGCAAGACTCTACTAAACCTACTCATGACTCGTGAGACCTATGTAACTTAGGCTCTGATACCAACTTCTCACGACCCAAAACACCAAGTGTCGTGATGGCACCTATCATGATACTAGGCAAGCCGACAACTCATACATACCAACATCTTGAAATTTAAACTATACGGAAATAAGCTTAAGTAAGTAAAAGTCTCATAAAAACTATATGAAAACACCGCAACTCAATACAAAACTTCCCAAAACCCGGGTGTCACTAAGTACACAAGCATCTATACGATAACATAGTATAATACATTGTCTAAAAAAGTATTGCTGAATAAGTAAAACTGAGAGATAGAGGAAGGAGAGTCAAGGTCTACGGATGCCAAGGCAGCTACCTCGATGATCTCCGAACTGATGAAACTCCAAAATCAGTAACTACAGTGCCCGAAAGTACCTGGATCTGCACACGAGTTGCAGGGTATAGCGTGAGTACATCTAACTCAATAAGTAACAAGTTTAACCTTTAGGGTGAAAGTAGTGATGAGCTCACACAATACAGCCCACATACAGAACTAACAGTACAAAAATTACAGAAAAAATGCCAATAATATCTCAAAAAATTCATAATCTGCAAGTAACAATACCGGAATGTAGACATGCTTCCAAGTATAACATTTAAACTCAATACAGGTAAAATATACCAAGTCTGAATGATATGAGGTATATGACATCTCTATATCTACATACCAACATTGTCACGACCCAAAATCTCACCTATCATGATGGCGCCTATCGTGGAACTAGGCAAGCCTCAACTCGACATCTCAATACAATAGAACTTTTAAATAAAGGCAGAAGTAGTTAATATTAAAGAAATCTTTTTAAAAATAGAATATAACTCCAAAATTACTATACAATCCATCCCCAAAACTCGGTGTCACTGAGTGCATGAGCATCTAAATGATAAGAACAACCGACTGATAAAACACTGTCTGAAAATATAGAACAATACAACATGAAAGGAAAGGAGAGTTAAGGTCAGCGAACGCCATGCAGCTACCTCAATAATTTCCTGAGTCTGACTCCTCAATCAGCAACCACCGTGACCAGAAGTGTCTGGATCTGTACACGAGGTAACATGGGGTAACGTGAGTATACCAACTTAGTAAGTAACAGAAATAAATAAGGAACTGAGAAGTAGTTATTAGCTATGCAAATACAGTTATCTCAATAACTTTCAAATAAGAGTAGTTATACTTTCGATTTAACAGTTTTAGTCTCATCAGTGCGTACTCTAATAAACCAGATATCAAATATTCCAGAAATACGCACGACATGGACAAATAGCAACTAAGTGTAGCAATTAACTGAAAACAAATATGGCCTCTCAAGGCAACAGTAACTCAGCTTATCTCTACAGCTTAATCACTCGGCTCTCAGCCCTCAATAATCATACTCAATAGGTACCTGCGCTCACTGGGGCTGTGCAGACTCCGGAGGGGCTCCTTCAGCCCAAGTGCTATAAACTGCACGGACAACTCACGTGTTGCACGGACAACTCACGTACTATAATATAATATCTAAATCCGCACGGACAACTCACGTGCTATAGTATCAATATCTGGATCCGCACGGACAACTCACGTGCTATAGTATCAATATCTGGATCCGCACGGACAACTCACGTGTTTCACGGACAACTCAAGTGCTATAGTATCAATATCTGGATCCTCACGGGCAACTTACGTGCTATAGTATTAATATCTCACAACTAGGCCCTTGGCCTTACTCAGTATGATATCTTTGATTCCTTTGTGGTATTCTTAGAAGGCGATTAATACTAGTTATTAATTATTGTCTCAAGTTACTCGTAAAGTGGTCAAGATCCGAATCTATTGTTTTGATTTGCTTTTTAAGTAAAGGCGTTTGATTTCTTCCATAAATCAAGACGTTGTTACTTTGATCTTGTCAAGGCTATAGAACTTGCGTTCTTGGAAGTTCTTGGAATTCTTTCCTTGAATTCTTCCCATATCCTTTATTTTCATCTCTTTAATTCTAGTTGTTCAATTCCTTGTTGTTATTGCTTCCGCATTTACTTCTCAAATTCTTACTCTAATTTGGATTCCCGACCTAGTTGTTATCAAGTGGTATCAATCTCTCCAGTCTCTCGGACTCTCAGAAATCATATAAACAGCCCAAATAGAAGTAATATCATGTATCAACAATATACAGTAAGAGACAAAGGCATAATAAGCAAGAAAAGCTATGACTGAGTACGAACGGTAATTTAGCAGCTAATTCAGCAAGTACACGACCTCTCAGGTCTCAACAGTGATCACATAAGGCCTAAACATGATTTCTAACATGAAGTATAGGCAATTTCTATGAAAACAGAGGGAACATGTATTAAATAGTAGGCCAATTGATTCCATAGTCTCACGGGACGGACCAAGTCACAATCCCTACGGTGCACGCCCACATGCCCGTCACCTAGCATGTGCATCACCTCCAAAATAGTCATACGACACATTGTTCGGGGTTTCATACCCTCAGGACCAGATTTATAACTGTTACTTACCCCAATCCAAGCAAAAATCCTACTCCGAAATGCCTTTGTCGCTCAAATCGGACTCCAAACGTCCCGAATCTAGTCACAATTAACTCGATTCATTCAATACATATTATAGGAATTAATTCCATATGAAAATAGTAATTTTCCAACAAAATCCGAAATTAACCCAAAAATCGCCCGTGGGGCCCACGTCTCGGAATACGACAAAAGTCACGGAATATGAACCCTCATCCAACCACGAGTCCAACCATATAAATTTTACCAAAATCCGACATCGGATTGGCTTTCAAATCTTAAATTTTTATTTTTGGAAGATTTGGCTAAAAAAATAATTTTTCTTCCATAAATTCATGGATTCATGATGTAAATGCATATGAAATCATGAAATATAATCAATATAGGATAAGGAACACTTACCCCAATGTTTTCACGTGAAAATCGCCCAAATCGCCCAAGAATCGAGCTCCAAAAATTCCAAAACGAAATGGCAAAGTGACTGATTTTTGTGATTAAATGTTTCTGTCCATCCATCACTAAAAGCGATTTTCGTCACTAAAAGTCGTCACTAAAAGTCTACTAGAAACAACTTTACCAGCCCTTATTCAATTGACCATAACTTTCCGTACAAATGTCCAAATGATGAACGGTTTAATGTTCTTAAAACAAGAATGCAAGGGCTACAACTTTCATGTTTTGCAAATTTTCAGATTCCTTATATATTTCGAGATATAAGCTTCCAAAGTAGCCTCCTCGCATCAGAAAGTTCTGGAAAATTTCAATACAACATTATCAACCTTTATTCAATCGATCATAACATTCTGTATACATATCTTTAGCTTTCTGTAAACTAGGATACAAGGGCTACATCTTTTATGTTTTCCAAATTTACAGATACCTTATAGATTTCGAGATATAAGCTTACGAAGTAGGCTCTGCGATTGTAGTAGTTGTTACCATAGACAGTTTCTGCAGAAATTTCAGCAGCTTCAACAAGTCGCCAAACTATCCGAACCCCATCTGAAACTCATCCGAGCCACTCAGGATCTTGTCCGAAAATACCAAAATTTCCCAAAATACAATACGAACTTAATTTAGGCTTCAAACCACATCAAACAACGCCGAAATTATGAATCACGCATCGAATTGAATTATGAGTTTTCAAATTTTCCAACTTCTATATTTTTGCACCGAAACATATCAAATCAATCCAGAATGACTTCAAATTTTGCACACAAGTCATAAATGACATAATAGAGTTGTATCAATTTTCAGAATCTGATTTCGACCCCGATATAAAAAATTCAACTCTCGGTCAAACTTTCCAAAAAAAAATTATTTTCCAACTTTCGCCAAAATGCGTCGAATTGTCCTACGGACTTCCAAATCCAAATCCGAACATGCTCCTAAGTCCAAAATCACAATACGAAACTATTGGAATCAACAAAATTCTATTCTGGGGTCGTTTGCTCAAAAGTCGAATCTCTGGTCAAACTTAAGAAATCTTTAGCCTTAGATTTCTAGATTCCGTTAAATAGCGATAATTTGAGCTTGGGATCTCCGAATTCGATTTAGGGCATATGACCAAGACCCAAATCATAATACGGAACTACCGGAATGGGTAAAACTTGGGTCCGGGTTCGTTTGCTCAAAATATTAACCGAAGTCAACTCAGTTGAGTTTTAAAGTTCTAATTCACATTTTAATCCATTTTTTACATAAAAACCTTCCGGAAATTATACGGACTGCGCACACAGGTCGGGAAATAATTAATAACATTTTTCAAGGTCTTAAACACCGAGATAATTATTTAATTTAAAGATGACATTTTGGGTCATCACAAACATGCATGTCGTAGGTGATGCAACACAATGAAAGCCTCGCGTACTCACACTCTCAGAGTACTCAACCTGACTGTCTCAATTCTCACTCATCACACTCAATCACTCAGCACTGTACAGGGTAGATACAGCCCAAGTGCTAATAAATCCTGCTGCAGCGTGCAGTCCGATCCCATCGTGAATGGATAACAAGTGTGCTCACTGTGGGTGTACAGACTCCTGAGGGGCAGATCAGCCCAAGAGCTATAATAAGACAATCATGGTGTGAATTAATAAAGTCTGATGCAGCGCGTAGCCCGATCCCATAAATATCACTCACAAACAAGCTCTCGGCCTCACTCAATCATCAATCTGTCCAATCTCTCGGGCTCACAACACTCATGCTAAGCAGCCCAAATCAATGATACGTGATGTGACAATGTATGATAATAGAGACTAAGATATAATATGCAATGATGAATGCGACTGAGTACATAACTACAATTAAGCAAAT